AAAAAAATAAAATTATATATATATATATATATATATATATATATATATTGTGATGTACAAGTATGTTCTTAATTTGGATTTATTTACATTTATATATTTATTATATTATGTTTTATGAATATTTTCATTTATATATTTTTATTATCCTCCCTTCATATTACTAATATAGCTTCCCGTTTCTACAAAAGGATAGAAAACTTTCTATTAATTAATCATACTTGGGAAATTCTTCCCACTATTTGTTAAAAAAACAGACAAGCATGAATGCAAGGATGCGAGCCAGTTCTTTTGCAGTATTTGGAGCTCTAAGCAACTATGGAATTGGGGCACTAAAGGAGGCATTTGTTGAGCAGGTATGTTGTTAACTCTGAAGGTTGTTGAGCCTTTGCTTCTTTCCTCTTTTTTTTCCTCTTAATTATGGACTCAAATAAATAGGTAGGTTCAATCTTTTCATGAGTAAAGCTAATATGTGTTGATGGTTGTCAATAATGGATATTTGTGTGATGGGAACAGCAAAAGGTACTTATTTTTTTAAAATAAGGAAACTTGTTCCATGGGGCTTAGTATTTTGTATTATTTCTGTTATTTTCCATTTTTGTTTGTTTATTATTAGGTGACATAATAGGTTATACCAATTTGACCATGATTTGTTCATTTTGTGGTTACCAGTTTGGTTAATTTAACAAAATGATAATATCAACATAAATGTGGTAAAAGCACAGGGAAAAAAGTATGTCACATTTAAATTTGTAGCCAACCAATGATTTTGTAGACTTACCCATGCTAAAGCCCAGAGCTAGCATAAATGCCCGAACATCTCCCTCTATCTCCTCAACTAATCACTAAATGCAGAATTTGACTCTTGTTTACTTTGTAGTGCTACTAAAGTTGTTTGTTGAAATCCTACATTGAGATCAAAATAGTATATATAAGTGAAAAGTAATTCTCACCTTACTAGTCAGTTTTGTAAAATTAAGTTAAGCTCATAACCTACATTTTAAGATGGCGTGAGTCTATCCTACCGATTATTGATTGCTATTAGATTTATCAGATCATTGATTATCAGACTGTTATCGAACCACTCATAGATGTTCAGTCTTCAGCATGAGGGGAAAGGGTATTAAAGATCTCATATCAACTAGTGATAAGGTTAAAATAGCATATACAAGTGGAGAACAATCATCACTTTATAAGTCAATTTTGTAAGATTAAGTTACAACTAAACCCACATTCTAAGAGTCCTGATTTGCTTACATGAAAGTTTTGGGCTCCACATATTCCAATTTAAACAGTTTTTAATCCAATAACCAGATTTGGAAAGTTCAACTTGGCGATTTATGAATCAATATGTAAGACAAACATGTGAAATACTTCATTAACTATCAAAGAACATTATAATCAAAATAAAGGAAAACAAAAGATTAATCCAGACTGTAGCGTATGGCCTTTTATAAAGTACATGTATCTTGTTAACCAGTGTTGGCATATGCAAAAAAAATCACATTCTTTGTAATATCTTCAACCAACTTGGCAAGTTTATCTGGTGAATTCCAAGGGGACATGCCTTTTTATTATTTTGGTGAACCTTTTGTTTGCATAGTAGGCCAACTGGACTGGTGATCATCATATATTAGCTTCTCTTAATATTTCTGCTAGCTTATTCCATGTGAATGATTTCTTTTCCAAGGTCCATGCTGCTGTTCCTCGCCTTGTCTTGCATCTTCATGATGAAGATTTTAGTGTCCGATTAGCCTGCCGGGTAATCTGCCACCATCTTGGATTTTCTTGAATTGGAGATCTGTAAAGAAATTTCTAACATGATAAATCATTTCTTTTTGATACATGCTGACTGATAGAATACCCTGAAAAGAGTTTGCCCATTGATGGAAATTGAAGGATTGCTTGCCCTACTAAACACACAGACTTTCCTTTCTGATCATCGGTATGGTTTGACATATAGTATAGTATCCTAGTTTTGCAAGTATTTTGAAGAATTTCCTATGGGAAAATATGACAACTGGCTTCTTTTGTGTGTTTAGGAGTGACTATGAGGACTTGCTCCGAGACATAGCAAAGCAATTTACTCAGCATCTTGCATCCAGAGTTGATAGTTATATGGCATCAACAGTGCAGGTTCTTTTTCACACTTTTTGTTATAACACAATAATTAGTCATGATATTTTTTCTAACTGAAATTAAAATTTTGTTTGTTTGTATCCAACTTATTCTGTGTTTCATGGTGATTCATAGCCAAAAATCATAATCTTAATGAGACAGCATTTGAATTTTTAGGGTTTCAATTGAATTTTTTTAAAAGCAATTTTCTCTTGAAAAGTTTAATTTTCATGTACTGATGTTGTAAAAAAATTTAGACTGTCAGAAATCAATTTAGGTATGATTTTTACAGTAATTAATATAAAAATTAACAATCTTATCATACATGTCAATATGTGATTTGATAACTGTTAAAAACTGAGTTCATTCTAATCAATTTCTTCTGTCAATTAATCAAAATCAAACATGCACCTATGTTGCTGTATTCCAAAACAACCTCTTTCTCTTTATGGGTCGCATGGGTTGTAACAACTTTTTTTTTCCCATTTTATATAAAGGAATCAATGTTTTATGTAGCAAATATATTTGTATGGTTCCAATGTAGACATTTTACCTTTTTTATAAGCTTCATTTTTCTTTCTTGAGAGATATCTGTGTTGGAATTAAAAGTAGGAATATATTCAGATTCATATTAATTCAAGTTTATGTATACAGGTTCATGTACATCGAAAACACTATTCATGAACATAGGAGAAAACATTTTTATTAATTTTTCTTGTAATCATAAAATGTAATTATGTCAGAGTGTGCATATTTATCAGTCTTGCTGGGTGCTTTTCCACTCAAGCAATTCAGAAATTTTCTCTCTTAACTCTCTTCTCAAGTATTTCTAAGTTTTTGTACAGAATTTTTCATCTTTTATGACTTAAAAATTGAGACATTTTTGTGTGTATATAGTTGAAGCAGTGAGCATGATCTGTCAACTGCGGCTGGCTTTCTATGTTTAGGATATTAGGATTGGAAAGAGGGCCAATATATCTTGAAAAGTTATCTGATTCATGCATTTTAGCTGGATTTTCTTTTCATGAGCTTCCTGCTTGATGATTTTTCCCCATTGCGAGTAAACGTGGAATAAATCTACAACAAGGCCACTATAAACATCTAACCAATGCTTGTGGATCATTTTTCCTTCTGTTTAAATCTAAGGCCTTGAAAATTTAGTCGTTTACTTTCTTGATGAGGCAGGCTTTTGACGCACCATGGCCCATAATTCAGGCAAATGCTATATACTTCTGCAGCAGCATTCTCTCTCTATCTGACAGTCAGCATATTTTAGCTGTCTATCATTCACAGGTATTTCCAGGATGTTCTCACAATTTTTGGGCATGTCAGCTAAAAGTAAAACTGAAGTTTCACCAGATCTATCTGTATCTTCTTTTAGGTCTTTGGTATGCTGGTGGGAAAAATGAGTCGATCATCTGATGCTGTCGTTAGAGCAACATGTTCTGCTGCTCTGGGCTTGTTGCTGAAATCCTCCAATTTATGTTCATGGAGAGCAGTTCAACTCGATCGGGTAGACTCACCATCACGGAACCATGATGCAGAGTCCACGAAAAATTAGCAACAAATCTGGAATATATAACTAAAATCATTATTGACCATGAGCTTGAAGCACTGCGTTTTAGGAGTGGCTGAGTGGACTGGCTGTTGGTAGATCGTGTTGGTGTTCGTGTACAGTGTGTTGGCAATAACCTCTTGTATTCTATCATTCCCTCCCATTTTCCCTTTTAAATGTATATTCTGTTAGTCATGATCGTGTAAATTGTTGTACATTAATCACACTTGAAGCTACATCACGGTCACGTAAGAGATTTTTGTATTTTCCATTATTTTTTCGTATAATTTATCATAAAAATTGATGGTGTACACGTACAAATAGATAGCCAAAGTATTTTAAATATTTGGTGCTCTTCTGCTTGTCTGGCTTATTTCTTTCTATAAACAACAGTAAGGGAAAAATATTTTCTCACATACTGTTGCTAAAATTATTTTTAAATGATTTATTTTTGTGTTGTGACCGTTTATGTAAGAAATTAACGATAAAATGGAAAATAAACTTACTGTATCAGTGGCTAAAGTTTGTTATTTCCCTTTTAAAAAAAATTAGTTATAATAGCTTTATTAATTGATTTTATGAAGTTATGAAGACTTGGAAAACAGGATTTTTGTATTGAAATATGAAATACCCTTGTCTCATTTAAAATTACATTGTATTTCTTTTTAGCTGTATCAGTAGAAGTTTTATATCAACTCTAATATATTAAGGAATTGTTATTTTACGTGAAAGTTTTTTTTATTTTTTTTTATACGAGTTGTAAAGATTTTTTAAAATTTTTATCTAATTTAATTTTTATTTATCAGAATTATTTATAAATTAATATTAATATTTCAAAATAAATTATAAACAAAAATAATTTATTTATCATTATACAAACATAATATTTATTTAGCTATAATTTTAATTATATATAATAAATGTGTATGCAATGCACAAGTTAAAATATGAATTTTTTAAAACTTATGAATAATTTGGGTTTAATTAGTATTTTACTTTTTTTATTATTAGTATTTTAACATGTGTAATATACAAGTTGAAGTTTTATTATATCTAATTAATATTTACAATAAATTATATATATGTATATAATATTTGAATTTATAAATTATATTTAAATTTATGTAAATATATATTTTTAAATCTATAAACAT